GAAAATGTTGTGGTCAACATGAAATATGTTTTAAGGGTGTTGCTTTTACCGATTTTGCAGCGAGGGTTGCAATATTGGCAAAAAAACGTTGCTATGATCATTTTGTAGCACCCCTTGCAAAACCAAAAAGAAACATCGTTTCCTAGGGTTTCCCACTTCACAATACCCTCGAGAAATAGATGGTGATTGGAGGTATTTTCTTAATTTTTAGTTATGTTTATTAAAAAGCTCTAAGAAAAATGACTATATTTCTCTTCTTGATATAATATATATATATATATATATATATATATATATATATATATATATATATATATATATACACACACACACACACTAGGTGTGAGACCCATGTATTACATGGGTTTAATTAAAATATATATATATATATATATATATATATATATATATATATATATATATATATATAATTTTAATAATTTAAAAAGTTTGAATTTATAAGAAAAATAAGAAAATTTTGAATTATTAAAATTAATGAGACTTTAATGTATTGAATACATTACATATATAAATTCTTTCTAATAAATACTTTACATATATATTACCTTACACATTAAATGTGGAATTTTAATTTAATAAAATGAAAAATTTAATAAAATGACAAGTGGAAAATAAAAAATTTAAAATTTTTAGAAAATATCATGTGTCCAAACGAAAATAAACCCTATCTAATAATGTCTATAACAAAAATAAACCCTACAATTAAGCTATGAAATATATGATTGTAATTTAAAAAAAAGATATACAACAACATTTTAGGTGGTGATATATCACTTAACATTCCCCCACAAGATGGACGAGCTATTTGCGAGACCAATCTTGGAAACCAGAAGTTGAAAACGTGAACGCACTAATGGCTTGGTAATGGCATCAGCAAGTTGGTCATGACCCGATATGTGTGTAACCTGTAGAGATCAGTTTTGTACTTTTTCATGAACAAAATGAAAATCCAATGCTAAATGCTTCATGTGAGAATGAAAAACTGGATTTGCAGAATATGTTGTGGCACTGAGATTGTCGCAATACACGACATGAACTATAGGTAATTTGAAGCCTAACTCAGATAAAAGATTAGTGAGCCATTGGACTTCTGTGGTAGTAGAGGCTACGACTCTAAATTCAGCCTCAGTGGAGCTACGAGCTAAAGTAGTTTGTTGTTTGGAGCTCCAAGCAATAGGGTTAGATCCAAGGAAAACGACATAACCAGTTGTGCTACGATAATTATCTTTGTCTCCTGCCCAGTCCGCATCAGTAAAAGCGTGTAAAGTGAGAGGAGAGTGTTTTGGAAGCAGCAAACCTTTAGATAATGTACCCTGTAGATATCTTAGAAGTCTTTTTAAAGTTGTCCAATGTTGATATGTTGGAGCATGCATAAATTGAGACAGCTTGTTGACGGTGATTGCAATGTCGGGACGGGTAAGAGATAAGTATTGCAATGCACCGACGATAGACCGATATTCTATAGGAGAAGGATGTAGGGGAGCACCATGTAGTGTTAGTATTTCAGAGCAAGTAATAGGGGTGGTAATCGGCTTACAGTCAATCATATTTACCTTTTTAAGAATATCATAAATGTATTTCTTTTGAGAGAAAGAATAAGACCTTGTGAATGGGGAAGTACTTTAATGCCAAGAAAATAGGTGAGAGATCCAAGGTCTATTAAGGATAATTTTTTGATAAAAGCTGGATAAAGCGATGAACCAAGGAAGTGGAAGGACCGGTGATGATAATGTCATCAACAAATACAAGGATATAGATGGGAGAGGAATCCACGATGTAAGCGAAAAGATAGGAGTCAGAAATGGTGGATTTGAATCCATGAGAGACAAGAAAAGATATTAGTTCATCATACCATGCACGGGAGGCTTGTTTGAGTCCATAAATAGCTTTGTTTAATTTACAGACATGATTTGGGAAGGCCGGATCAACGAAACCGGGAGGTTGAGCCATAAAGACATCCTCATTAAGGGTGCCTTGAAGAAAGGCATTGTTGATATCTAATTGATTAAGAACCTATCTCTGTGAGACGGCAAGGGTGAGAACAAGACGAAGTGTTGCCGGTTTAAGGACCGGGTTGAAGGTTTCGATATAATCAATGTCGGGTCTTTGGGTGAATCCTTTAGCCACGAGTTGGGATTTTAAGCGGTCTATAGATCCATATAGTTTGCATTTAGTTCTATAAATCCACTTAGAGCCCACAATATTAGGAGCAAGTATAGAAGGGACGAGAGTCCATGTATTATTTCTTTTTAATGCATCAAATTCAAGTTGCATGGCATGACGCCACGAGGGATGCTTGAGAGCATGAGAGATGGTGGATGGTTCGTCATAGGCTGTGAGGGTGGTATTGTAGACTTGCAAGAGAGATGAGATGAAAGTTTGGTGTATTCTCCCCCATTGTCGGAGAAGAATTTGCAATTAAAATAGTTTTCAACCAGTCTTTGAAAAAGAATAAAAGTAGAGAGGGGGTCCGATTTGTTTTTGATGGGATAAAGCCAAATGTATTTTGTGTAGTGGTCAACAAAAATGATGTAATATTTATAATTTTCAAATGAAGTGACTTGCAAGAGAGATGAGATGAAAGTTTGGTGTATTCTCCCCCATTGTCAGAGAAGAATTTTGATAGCTTCATTTTATTTACTTCTTTTTATAGTTTATTTTAGCATATTTCATTCATAATTTAGATAATTTCCATGCATATTTTCCTTTTTGTTATTTTATGACTATTTCGGGTACTCTCGAATCTTGTGAGCATAATTGCAGGTTTTCGGGTCTAGCGGAGCGGGAGTGTTCGGGACGTATAGGAGGCGATGAGATTTGGTAGACAAAAATGACGTTGGGCTTGATGGGTAGTGGAGATGATGCATAGAGTGATCTTGATGATTATTTGAAGACTTGGAGAGAAATAAACTTTAAATTTGCAAGATGCGGGGGAATATTCAAGCGTACGTAAATTATTGATCGGGCGAGTTCACGAGCTTTGGAGGACTTAGAGAGGTCAAATTAGGCTTAAAATGAAGAAAAAATTGAAGAAAATGGGCTAGGAGGTGATTGGATTCGACCTGGGCCAAGTGGGCTAAGCTATGGAGGCCCAAAACCTCAAAGATGCTACATCCAGGGACCACCTGCGCAACCCACCCGCGCAAGAGCACGCGGGTCGCGCAACCGCCTGC